GAGTTGTCAGTCCACCCCTGCACTGGTCACTTTGACTTGTGCTTTATACCCCACCTGAGGGGTCACTCATTAATTACTTTAAGTCCCCTTTGTGGACAGGGGGAGGTTGATTTTTTTCCATTAGGAAAAAGGGTCCACTTTTCTTTGGTACAGGTCCATACCTGTTTACTTCACCCTAGTGACACCTGATTAGATCCAATTGGATCGGAACACTGAGTGGAATACTGTATTGTTTTTAATATGTGATGTGACTATTATCATTTTATGTTTTTTATAAGTGTTGCCATTCTCCGTTATATTTACATTTTTTTATTGGTTGCGCTTCACCATTTATTACATTATTTACCTATTGAAGTCAGGTTAGGTGACAGCAGCTTTATGTAGGGTATCCATTTAAGTGCAGAAGGTCTTACATATCATTTGTGTTCAGCCCCCTTTACTCTGATACGCCTAACTAAAATCTAGTGGAACCAATTGCCTTCAGAAGTCACCTTATTAGTAAATAGAGTCCACTTGTGTGTAATTTAATCTCAGTATAAATACAGCTGTTCTGTGAAGCCCTCAGAGGTTTGTTAGAGAACATTATTGAACAAACAGCATCATGAAGGCCAAGGAACACACCTGACAGGTCGGGGATAAAGTTGTTGAGAAGTTTAAAGCAGGTTTAGGTTATAAAAAAATCCCAAGCTTTGAACATCTCACAGAAAACTGTTTAATCCATCATCCGAAAATGGAAAGAGTATGGCACAACTGCAAACCTACCAAGACATGGCTGTCCACCTAAACTGACAGGCCGGGCAAGGAGAGCATTAACCAGAGAAGCAGCCAAGAGGCCCATGGTCAGGGGCGGACTGACAACTCATGGGGCCCCCAGGCAATAGGGGATCATGGGGCCCCTGTGTCCTTGCCCAAACTAAAAAAAGCCTATGAAAAAGGTACCAGGGGCATTTCATGGGGCCCCCTACTGACCACGGGCCCTCGGGCAGTGCCCAAGTTTCCAAATGGTCAGTCCGCCCCTGCCCATGGTAACTCTGGAGGAGCTGCAAGGATCTGCAACTCCGGTGATTCCCCAAGTGATCACTGAGTATCACCGACGGGGAAGAGACCATTTTGTAAATGCTACAACTTTCATATAAACCAATTAATTTACACATATTGGAATTTTTTTTTTTAGCAAAGACATGTCGCAGAATACATTACATTTTGGCCTAAATTTGACAAAATTAGATTTTTTTAAATTTTTTTACTAGACCTGTTTGATAGCAAAAAGTCAAAATTTAGTTTTTTTCTCAAAATTGTCAGTCTTTTGTTTTTTATAGCGCAAAAAAAAAACCGCACAAGCGATCAAATGCCACCAAAAGAAAGCTCTATTTGTGGGAAGAAAGGCCATAAATTTCATTTGGGTGCAGTGTTGCATGACTGCACAATTGTCAGTTAAAGTTACCCAGCACCGTATCGCAAAAAATGGCCTGATCAGGAAGGGGGGTAAATCCTCAGCAGGGCAAATGGTTAAGAATCTTACTACGCAGCACATGACAGCACAAAGGGCAAGTGGTTATGAGATGATTTTGACATGAACTGCTAATTTGGAAGTGAAATATGCAGGTTCTAACTCTGGTCCCTTAGCTATGCTAAATTGTTCATTAGGGATAAAGGGTGAAACTGATAATCCCCCTGTCAGGGCCCCGGGTATGACCAGAGGTGTGTGGACTGACACAGGGAAACGCAGGCTTCAGATATAGTATCAACAATATAATTTATTTAAGACTAAACAATACATAAATGCAGTGCAAGACTAAACATAAACACAGTGCAAACAAACCAAACCAAAACCCCCAACAGATAACAAAAGAACAATACTAAGCGTAGTCGGCCGGGTCAGGAACAATCAGGCAGACAAGGTACCAAAGGAGCAGACTGGAGAATGGTCAGGAATAGCAGAGGTAAGGACAGGCGGAGTTCAATCAGAGTCAGGGATCAAGCAGGATCAGACAGGATGCAGGTACAGGGGCTCTTGGGAAAACATACACCAAGGCCCTGATTGCAAGTCTGGCCATTCCTTATATGCACCTTCTGCAATCAGCCTCAGGTGTTTTGGCTGACTGCAGAAGTGAGCCTCTGGTTGCTGAGAGCACCCGCTGGCCAGTCCTGGTACTGCAAACCACAAGGCAGGTGAGTCCCACCACTATTGGCGAGTCCATTCCTGACACCCCCCAAGGAACATGACTGTGTTTAGGTAATACATGAGGACACCACTCCCAGAATAGACATGCAACAAACCCCCATTTCAGAGGCTCTGGATATATTTGGACATGGTTCCTGTTCGAGACCTTCGGATGATACCTTTTTATCAGGGTATGCAGTGGTTCAGCTACCTGATATTGTTCATGAGGCACTGCCCCTCCAAGTCAGCACAAGCAGCAGATCTGATAGCCTTAACCAAAACTTGTGAACTTTTCGAGAATCAGGATGTAAATGTTTACACAGCTTCTAGGTATGTTTTTCGAGGTTGTTCATGACTTTGGAAAAATATGACAGAGACAAGGATTCACTACTGCCTGTGGAAAAGGAATATCACATGTGGACCTAATAAATAATCTTTTAGATGCCATTCATAAACCTAGGTCCATAGCGGTAATCAAAAGCAAGGCACATATTTTTTTTCTGATTTTGTAGCCAACGGCAATGCACTTGCTGACGGCACTGCTAAAAATGCCACCCTACAGCAACAATTTTTACAAAACATACAAATGACTATGGCTATTTTAGACCCACCTGTGCTACCTGAACATTCTCTCCTTAACCTCCCTGGTGGTATTCCTGAGTGTAGCTCGGGGTAAAGTTTCAGTACCAAGAGCTGTAACCCCGAGCTACACTCGGGCTTACCATGCGGCGTTGCACAGGGATTCCCTACAGCGCTTACCTTGTCCTTCGCTCTCATGATGCGTCCCCTGCAGCATCCCCGGCCATCTCCTCCGGCCGATGCCGGCATCTGGCTTCCGTGTTCCGGTCCCTGTGACGTCGGGATGTACGGCGGCAAATTTGAAAATGTAAAAAAAATTACTTTTTTTTTAAAACGATTGTTTCATAACAAAACATTCCTGTATCAAAGCATTTCACATACATTTTGTCCCTACTGCTTTGTCCTGTGCCCTGCCTGTATTTTGACTGTTCTTTCTGCCTGGAAACTTAGAAAAGTCCATGGCATCCAAAAAGCGTCCCTTTACGTCAAAAGCGGTTTTAGACCGGCTAGAGAACAGCGATAGTAAATCAGAACCACTTGCACAACTGAGTGATAATGATTCGTGGGGGAAATTCGTCATCAGACACTGAAAACGATTTTGCTACTTTGCTCAGCGATGTGCGAATTTGCCTCTGTATTTCAAATTTCAGTGTTTTTGGTTTGATTATATTATTGAATTAAATATATTATTATTATATTTATTTTTTTATGATTATTAAATTATAATTTATGATTTCGTGTTTCAAATTTTATCCTACCCAGGATGTTTACTAGACTCTTGTTCGTACAGATTTCAGTGAGTTATTCCTAAAAATTACAGCCTACAATAAAAAACTACATATTTCCATGCAAAAAAATGGTACCGCTTTCAGCACCAAAAATCTGAAATAATCATACCACCAGGGAGGTTAAAGAACTGCAATATACAGCAACTGAGGAGGATGTAAATTACTGGCAACAAAAAAGGGTTGACATTAGATGCAAATGGTCTAATGTCCAAGGGAGGTATATTAGGACTCCCACGTCTGTGTTCCTCTTATTATAGCACAGTTCCATGGCATATAGGACATCGGGGTTGGCAGGTAGTGAGAGATGAAATAAAGAAAAGATTCTTTGCAAAGGAAATTATCCCTCGATAGGGATGTCTGATAAGTATAGACTCAAAGGACCAGTATTTACCTCAAAGGTTACACAACAGGTAGTCAAACTGATGAGTGTTGACTGGAAGTTCCACATACCCTACCACCCACAGAGTTCTGCTCAGGTAGAACTGGCAAATAGGACCCTGAAGGAAAAGTTAAGGAAGGCAACATGTGGGACATTTAAGGGATGGGAGGTGTACCTGCCAGCTGTTCTAGCTGAGATGAGGCTGATACCTAACAATGTCACTAAACTTTCCCTTTTTTAAATTCTTATGGGCAGGCCATTCCCTACCCCCTGGACAAGAGGCACTTTGTTAGTTATGCCAAGTGATTTAGAATGAATCCAGGAGAAATATGTTTAGGAATTGATTAGGGTGTTGAATGGTGTATACAGGAATTTCTCTCTCTCATTTCCACTTCCCACAGATGATCCAACCTACCCGTATAAGCCAGGAGATCTGGTAGTGGTTAAGGAACTTCATAGACACAAGACCATAGATCCACCATATGGGGAACCCACCGTAGTGACGGCTGTAATGAGAACAGCTGTTCTGACTGCTGATTCCAACATCTGGATACATGTTTCCAGGGTAAAGGGGATCCCAGAACCACCAAAGAACCAGGAGCAACAGACAAAACAAGAAAAGGAGACAGACCTATCAATGCCCTCCAACCTTCAGGATGCTGCTTTATCCAAAGATGGTCTAGAAGAACTTTCTTTTGATCGGTTGGCTCTTAGTGATAACTTTTTCAGTGACTTACTGGGCTAGCCACTTCTGCTATCACTCAGAGGTATGGCCGCCAATTTGTGGCCACAACAGTGAGACTATGAATGACACTGAACTAATAAAAAAGAAGCAGAAAAGATCATTAACTGAAAATATGTCACTGTTGAAATTTAAGTACACATATACCAAGCTCTCGGGATTCGAGAGCTGTTGGGTTTGCAGTATGCTCCACCCTGAAATCATGAACATTCTTTTGTATGCTGCTCCTAAAAATGTGACATCAATGTTTATTGGTAATCTGAGGGCCAATGCTCTTCCTCCGCACCGCCCTTATGATTGTCCTACTGAACTTCTGCCCAGTGCTGAAATTCCTTTTGGGCGATCCTC